ATTGATGACTCTTCGTTTTTAATGGTTCATTCATCATCGTCATCACCGTCAATACTATTTCAAAACCACCACACGTACTCATCATCTCCAACAGCCGCCACAAAGCACAAACCCACTTTTCGTCCATCGATAGCCTTCTGGCAGACCAAAAACCAGAGTTCCCTCCTTCTTGAAGTTCTCTTTCTCGGACCTCAAAGTCGCCATTAACAACTTCATCCCCGAGTACATCATCTCCTAAGCAATTATACTCTCTCTCTGTGTAATTGATCTTTTTTAGAACCACAAGGGTCTATCTACATCATTGATCTTAGAAAAAACAACTAAATTCTTGCTTTTCGTTTGATTGCACTTGTTGTTTGTGAAATTTACTAGTCTGGTTAAGTATTGTGTTGTGATATTCATTGCTTTTGGTGTTTTGATTTCTAGAATTCATCCTTAATTCAATTAATATTGTAAATTAGAATAATAATGATTTGATTTTTGGATGGATCTTGTCATCTATTTCGCTCAAATAGACGAGGTAACCCTCATTTGCTCTATTTGTATGTGCATAGTTTGATGTGTACACTAGAAGCAAGATCCCTTCGATCGACATTGGTGCATATGTTGTTCGAATGTCTTACAGTCTAGATCAAAATGGGGGTTGTTCAATTTTCTCTAGTTTGTTGTTGTTTGAATGTCTTACAATTCAGAAAAAATTGGTCAAAATGAAAATTGTGGTTGTTCAATTTTCTCTAGGTTGTTGTTGTCTGAATGTCTTGCAGTTTAGAAAAAATTGGTCAAAATGAAAATTGTGATTGTTCTATTTTCTCTGGTTTGTTGTTGTCTGAATGTCTTACAGTCTACAGAAAATTGGTCAAAATGAAAATGGTAGTTGTTCAATTTTTTCTGGTTTGATAAAAAACACAGAGAAAATTATGAACAAACTAGAGAAAATTGGTCAAAACATAGAAAAATTCTTTAGAAAGTCCAGAGAAATTCTCTGGATCGAATTTTCTCTGAATCGATGTTGAGGGACCTTAGACATTATGAAAATATTGGGTGTCTTTTATGCTATAAAATCTTAATATCAGGAATCTTAAAAAAAATCTCCAAAAAACTAATAGTGACAATTTAATACAAAATTACATGGGAGCTTTCTAATTATATTTGAACCAGTGATAAAGTGTTCAAGTGCCAAATCATGAGAAGGTAAAATGAATTTAATTATTTTTTTAAGCGAAAATTTTAGATCAGTGTAGAATTTAAAAATTAATTACAAATTAATAATAAACTTTATAAATATTAATAATTAAAATTACAATATTTCTATTTATATGTAATAATTTTCTTAAATTACCACTGACACGTAATTTTTTTTTTTTAAAAAAGGCAAAAAAATGCATGAATAATTTTTTTTAAAAAAAAATTACTTTTGAGGGAACTATATGCAGGTGGAAAAAGAGAAAAAAAATTATCAACACATGAAGGCCATGTTTGATTCACAAGACTAATAGTAAATGTACTAATACTCCTATCAAATTAGTGTGATATTCACTATCCATTAGTAGGATAAATTATCTTTTTATCCATTGTTTGATTCGTATTTGATAAGAAAATATATAAAGGTAAAAGAGACTTATTATTTTATTTCTCAACTTAGGATATAAAATCTCACTCGTACCTCAATACTAATAATCCTACAAATTTGTTAGATTGATTATTTATTGGATTAATAATCCTAAAATAGAATTTCAAAACAAATACAGGATTATTGGGCTCACGGATTAATAATTTCAATCCTTTACTCTAATTCTGTCAATCAAACATGTCCGAAAGGTACAATTACAAACACACTTGCACCTTCTATATATTGATAATTTTTTTTTTCCCCTTTTCCATTTGTATGTAATTTTCCTTTATTTTTATTACGTTATTATGGGTGAAATATTAGTCCCTTATTCCATTTTTCATTGTCCCAAAATATTAGTCCCTCTTCAAAAATTAAGTACAAAAATAATATAAATTTCCCATTTTGCCCTTCTTTTAAATTCATAAATAATATAAAAAGTACAATTATATATTGATAATTTTTTTTTTCCTCTTTTCCATTTGTATGTAATTTTCCTTTATTTTTATTACTCCCTCCGTCCCATAATATTAGTCCCTTATTCCATTTTTCATTGTCCCAAAATATTAGTCCCTCTTCAAAAATTAAGTACAAAAATAATATAAATTTCCCATTTTGCCCTTCTTTTAAATTCATAAATAATATAAAAAGTACAATTATGACATTGATATTCTCAAAAAAGTGTACTATCAAAGGGTAATTTTGGAAAACCAACTTTTTAAAAGTACAATAATTGTACTACCAAAAAAAGTTGGATTCCCCAAAAGGGACCATTATTTTGGGACGGAGGGAGTACTTTATTATGGGTGAGTCCAAAAGACCGACGACTTTTAATGTGTTACGACCGGCGGAGTTCAATCAAAACGACTTCGTAGGGAGCTTCTATTTGCACACACCCATTCCACTCTGTGCACACACTCAATGATAATTATTTTTATTACTATTTTATTTCCAAGTAAAATTATTATTATAGACATCACACACAATTCAAATAAACACATTCAGAATTTTGATGTCGAAAAAATGAAAAAAAAAAATGAAATTTAACTGTCGAAAAAAATGATAATTTTCGGAATTCTACTTCCGAACAAGTTTATTTTTGAAATGCTAATTCCGAACAAGTTATTTTTTGAGAAGAATGTGCATAGAATGTAATGAGTGTGTGCAAATAGAAGCTCCCGACTTCGTACGCTCAATTTTAATGATTGGACCATTCTACCCCTCAACTTTCTCAAAACTCCTCAACCGTTGATTTTCATCTGATCAAAACAAATCTCCAACTGGGTCCCACTGCTCTCATACACAGCAGATCTTATCCATCACTCTCTCTATCTCTATCTCTATCTCTGCGAGCGGCCATGGCTTGTGTCTCTACAGCTGAGTTGTAGACTCTACAACTCAGCTCTACGCTCTTTCATGGAGGTTCTCTGTTAAACCTAGACCACAATACCCTAACTGTACTCGCTCATGGTTCGTTAACTGTAGAAATCGGACTCTCAGCCCTCTATCCAATTCCAATCACAGGCCTTCACGAGCTTCTATTGATTCTTCATGTGTTGGAATCAAAGCTAATATCTCAGAGAGGGCTACGACTATCCGAGAACTCTGTGAAGATCACATTCCGGATCATATATTGCGCAGGCGAGTTTTCTTTCATTTTCCTTTTTCTGGGAATTTAATGGGTTTGTTTGGTTCCAGAGAAAATAGGGGAAAGGAAAAGGGAAAGCAATATGAGCTCTTTCTTCTATTTTTTAATTACTATTCAAGTTTTGTTCTTGATTTGCTAATAAAAAAATTGAAACCATAAGTTTTGGTAATCCTTTTCTTTTCTGGGAAACTAAGAGCATCTCCAACCATGCTCTCTAAAATGCCTATTCAAAGTACACAAAAAACTACCTTCTTTATTTTGCCTAACTAGTTTAGCTAGTGTACACTCCAACCATACTCTTTATTTTAGCTAACCAATCAAACTAACTTAACTAATTTTAAAAAGAAAACTATAATAAACATTAATAAATAAATAAATAAATAATCTTTTTATAACATTCTGTATATATTGACGTGGCATTTGCAAATATTTATTTATTTAATATATATAATTAAATTATTTTTTAAAAAAAATATTTTCAAACAATCATATTATCTCAACAATCATATTTTCAAACGGTAATATTCTCTCAACGGTCATATTTTCAAACGGTAATATTCTCTCAACGGTCATATTTTCAAACGGTAATATTCTCTCAACGGTCATATTTTCAAACGGTAATATTCTCTCAACGGTCATATTTTCAAACGGTAATATTCTCTCAACGGTCATATTTTCAAACGGTAATATTCTCTCAACGGTCATATTTTCAAACGGTAATATTCTCTCAACGGTCATATTTTCAAACGGTAATATTCTCTCAACGGTCATATTTTCAAACGGTAATATTCTCTCAACGGTCATATTTTCAAACGGTAATATTCTCTCAACGGTCATATTTTCAAACGGTAATATTCTCTCAACGGTCATATTTTCAAACGGTAATATTCTCTCAACGGTCATATTTTCAAACGGTAATATTCTCTCAACGGTCATATTTTCAAACGGTAATATTCTCTCAACGGTCATATTTTCAAACGGTAATATTCTCTCAACGGTCATATTTTCAAACGGTAATATTCTCTCAACGGTCATATTTTCAAACGGTAATATTCTCTCAACGGTCATATTTTCAAACGGTAATATTCTCTCAACGGTCATATTTTCAAACGGTAATATTCTCTCAACGGTCATATTTTCAAACGGTAATATTCTCTCAACGGTCATATTTTCAAACGGTAATATTCTCTCAACGGTCATATTTTCAAACGGTAATATTCTCTCAACGGTCATATTTTCAAACGGTAATATTCTCTCAACGGTCATATTTTCAAACGGTAATATTCTCTCAACGGTCATATTTTCAAACGGTAATATTCTCTCAACGGTCATATTTTCAAACGGTAATATTCTCTCAACGGTCATATTTTCAAACGGTAATATTCTCTCAACGGTCATATTTTCAAACGGTAATATTCTCTCAACGGTCATATTTTCAAACGGTAATATTCTCTCAACGGTCATATTTTCAAACGGTAATATTCTCTCAACGGTCATATTTTCAAACGGTAATATTCTCTCAACGGTCATATTTTCAAACGGTAATATTCTCTCAACGGTCATATTTTCAAACGGTAATATTCTCTCAACGGTCATATTTTCAAACGGTAATATTCTCTCAACGGTCATATTTTCAAACGGTAATATTCTCTCAACGGTCATATTTTCAAACGGTAATATTCTCTAACGGTAATATTCTGTAACGGTAATTTGATAGAAAAATGAAAATAAGAAGAGTGCATGTATGTGTGTGTATATATAGAATACATATATTCAGCATTTGCTAGAAACAACTTCTGCTTGAGAACTTTAAATTCTTTTGAATGATCAGAAGAACTTCTTTGAAGTTTTAGACTTTTTTTTTTGGACTTTTCAGTAAGATAAGTGGCTGCCCCTTTTTGTTTGAATTATAAGGTATATTAAGTTAGATGAGTGGGCATTTTTTTACTAAAAGGATCCAATATGTAGCATATTTGGCTTCTCTCATTGTACAGAGCCTCATAAGTTTGAGTCTTTAATGCAAAAGTTCATCACAGGAATTGACATGATATATTTTGTGCCTTCTAGGTTGATTTCATGTTCAATTCTTCTAAGCAAGTCAGTTCGTTTCGAAAGCTTCTAATATCGTACTCATTAAGAAATAACCGTCAGACTATTTTTGCCAGTGCATCAATTCCCCAGCACAGAAGATTCTTATCTGATTGCATTCAGCAAAAATGGACCAAGGTTTGCTGATGGAATCTTTGTTTCTATGTATTCATTATTGGGCTTTAGCTCAATCTGCTTGTTATTGTATTACTTGCATACTTAATCGTGTTTCCGACAGGATGATATTGTTCATGTCCATGTAAACGCAGTTGAGCCAATGCCATCACGCCTGCATCACAGATTTGTGGTAAAAGAATTTGGAACCACGAAACTTGTTCAATTTTCTGTGTGTGTTTTTTCCCCTTTTTCCCTGTGTTGCTTTATTTCATATTCAGCTTATTTGTATATATTAGATCCTGTTCTAAACAGCAACTATTTTTTTGATGACATGCTTTGATGGTTATCAGATGTGTGGTAAAAATGAAAGACATCAAACCTTGATGCACCTCATTCTGCTATAATTTTTGTCAGCACACAGGTTAATTCTGCTATCATCCACAATCATTTTATTTATTGTTTTGGATATAGGACTGGCTTTACCCAAATGATAAAATTTGACAAATGTGATATCTAACTTCACGGTCTCACTTGAATAATGTGATATTCTTTATCGATATTATATCCGACTTATTGAAGTTCATAATGTTCATAGTTTGTGGCAAACTAAACATTGGTGACTCTAGTTAGTAGGTTAATATTATTTTCCAATTTATATTGCAGTCTGAGAAGTCAAAGAAGGCTGGCCATGCTCCACCAACAACTCTTCTAATTGAGTTGTTGAAGACTTCTCTTCCAGGGTGTTTTGATATTATTATTCTGGAGGAAGACATGAATTTCAATTTGCGAGCAGCTTTGTTATTGGTAAGTACTATTCAGCTCATGGATGCTAGATGTATCTATAACTCTTTATTTCATCCACAGGGAAAAAAATGGGTTGAAAGTTGGATTAGATAAGGCCATCTCTGTGTATTATAGTATTTGGTGTTTATGTGAGAACTAAAGTATTTTAATAAAAGAAGAATACCCCTTGTCATGATGTTCAAGCCATTGAATCTTGTTCTTGATTGATCAAGTCTTGAATATATAAACAAAACCACTTACAAAACACTTTCATAGAACCATATGAAAATATGGAAGGGATAGAGTTTCAAGCCTATTCTATTCACAAAAACATATGTGTTTTGATGGTTATCACAGGTATATATAGATAGGCTTGGACTCATGATCTAATCCAAGTGTAATTCCTTGTAACTTCTCACCATCAGGGAAGTTCTAACTTCCCATGAAACCACTTTATGAGGTAGTGGACATGTTTCACGTTAGTTACCCAATTGTTTACTGATTAAAATATATATAATAATATAATTAAATAAATAAATAAAACATGTGGCATATGTGCCACTTTATGAATATTCTTACATTCTCCCACTTGACACATATGATACATTTTGCTGACTTTCGGATAACTAACAAACTGATTATGGCCATTAAATAAAAATACCCATACTTTATAAAGAGACATAATACATGAATTATGGCGGTTATACTCTGTCAAATGAGTATTTCCTTCTATGTATTACGTTGTATGATTCTCTTAACTTTATGTGGTGTCATTCTTTATGAATAACTTCTAATAAGTTATTATGGGTCTAATGATCCCTATGGATCAATAGTCCCAATGGACTGCATAGCATCACAAGTGCATAAAGTGATGCTTTTCATTAATAATAATCAAATTGTAATTAGAAAACATTATTGAGCTAACCAATCAGTTCATACCCTCTACGTGTTTTGAAAATACCTTTACAGAAAGATCTTTGGTCATGGGATCTGCAACTATCATATCGGTACTAATCTTAACATGGGCTCAAACAGCAAGAAACTTTATGTCAATATGCTTACTTCGGCTGCCACTTTTGTTATTGTTCGAAAAGAAAACTGTAGCCGAATTATCACAGTAAACTCTTAATGGCCTAGAAATCGAATTCACAATTCGTAACCTTGTGATAAAATTTCTTAACCAAATAGCCTGTGATTTTGTTTCAAAGTATGCTATAAACTTTGCTTCCATTGTTGATGATGCAATTATCTTCTCTTTGGCGCTCTTCCATGAAATAGCACTGCCTGTTAGCAGATAGACATATCCTAAAGTGGATTTTCTAGAATCTTGACAACCTGCAAAATCTGAGTCTGAATATCCAACCACTTTAAGATAGTCAACATACTTGTAAGTAAGCATGTAACCCTTGGTTTCCTTGAAGTACCTCATGACTTTCTTTGCAGCCTTCCAATGTTCCATTCCTGGATTATTTTGGTATCTTCCAAGCTTCCCAACCAGAGCATGCATTAAACTACCTACGGCAGACGCATAGGGAATGCGAACCATTTGTTCTTTTTCCAAATCATTCTTCGGACATTGACTTAAACTGAATTTATCACCCTTTAAAATGGGTGCTGCATTTGGAGTGCAATCATTCATCATGAATTTCTCCAAAACTCTTAATATAGGCTTTATGAGACAATCCTAATGTCCTTTTGGACTTGTCTTTGTGAATCTCTATGCCAATGATATAAGAAGCTTCACCCATATCCTTCATTTCAAAGTTTTGGGAAAGAAATTGTTTCGTATCATGCAACCAACCCAAATCATTAGATGCAAGTAAAATGTCATCCACATATAGAATTAGAAAAATGTGCTTGCTCCCACTAACCTTAAGCTGCATTCAGTTGTCCACAATGTTCTCGGTAAAACCATATGAAGTAATAACATTGTGAAACTTTACATACCACTGTCGGGAAGCTTGTTTTAGTCCATATATGGATTTCTTGAGCTTGCAAACCAAGTGACTATCTTTATCAGAACAAAAACCTTCAGGTTGCTTCATGTATACTTCTTCCTTAAGATTCCCATTTAAAAATGCCGTTTTCACATCCATTTGATGTAGCGCTAAATCAAAATGAGCTACTAATGCCATGATAATTCTAAATGAATCATTCTTAGAAACCGGAGAGAAGGTATTATGATAATCGATGCATTCTCTTTGAGTAAAACCTATGAAGCACGGACACCTTTCCGAGGTCTGCGTATCAGTGTCGGACATGCAGTGGACACGTGTCTGACACTCTCATGAAGGTGTCCCATTTTTTTATTGAATTTTTTGTGGTTAGACAAGTTCGGCACACGTTTCAGACACTGCGGGGTAGAAAACATAATTTCTGAAACTTGTAAGTGGGGTCAAATTGTATAAAACAAAAATTATTACTTTAATCAAAGAGAGGAGACGAAAGAAAGGGTTGTTCGCTAAGGTATGCCGTTTTCTTCTTCTTCTTCTTCTTCTTCGATTTTGTTCTTCTCTTCTCCTCCTTCGATTCTCTTCTTCTTCTTCTTCTTTTCTCGTTCGATCTTTTTCTTTTGGTTCGATCTCTCTCTATATGTCTTCTTCTTCTTCTTTGATTTTGTTCTTCCCTTCTTCTCCTTCGATTCTCTTCTTATTTTCTTGTTTGATCTTCTTCTTGTTCGATCTCTCTCTGTCTCTCTGTTTTTTGATCAGTCTCTCTCTCTTCGACTTTTTTTTTCTTTGGAATTATATATAATGTAAACTATATTAATATAATATTATTCATATTATATAATATTATTTATTCAAAAAAATATCATATAATATAATATGTCATAAATAACATAACTTTTATGTCTAAAATTAAAATAATTTATTTTATTATATATAATATAATTTATTTTATGTCTAAAATAATGTTTATAATTTTTATTTACTATTTATTTGTTATTTTTTTTAATAAAATTTGTTATTCCTTAAACTTTTTAAACTCATCTTCATATAATAAATATATTTAAAAATAACTATTTAAC